GAAGAATGGCCAAAAATTCCCATAAACACACTCCTGAACCTTGTGGACAGCCTTCCCAGAAGAGGCGAAGCTGTTATAGCTGCAAAGGGTGAACCATCATCATTTTGAACCCTATGGATTAGGAATGGGATGTCACTTACAGTAAATTCATATGCGAGTAAAGGCAGGTGAGCGAATACTTTTGGCAATGTAGTGTATTTGGACTTCAACACCTAGAGTTCTTAGCTAAGGCCAGTGGTGGGATTCAGCCAGTTTGCACCTATTCGGGAGAACCGCTTGTTAACTTTCTAAGCAGTTCGGAGAACTGCTTTTGGCTTTTTGCACTTTATAGGGCTAATCCTCTAAGGAAGGCAGGAAGGAAACATTCTGGTGTTGTTTCTAGCCTAATCTTTATTGCCCTGCTTACAGAAACAGCCTCTCTGGTTAACCCTTATTACATTGTAACAACTAAGGCGAAGCATCCATTGACCCATCAAGTCACATGATCATTGAGCCCCACATACCCATCTACTCATTAGGCAGAGAATCAGTTGTTAAATTATTTGAATCCCACCACTGGCTAAGTCTATGATGTATGGGGCATTAGGGGTGAGTTTAGGAAAGCATTATCCTTTTATACAATTGAATCACAAAGTTGTGGTATTGTTGCTGAGAAACCTTATCCTCTAGTTTCAGCCCCATAAAACCACTTGGGCGACTTCATTAGCTATTGAGGGTGAACAGAGCAGTGAATATCCTGCTGCTCAATTAAAGATCTTCCTGAAGAGGACTGGAGTACAAATGTTGTCATCAGGCTTGGAAAAATCTCAGGTTTTGCAAAAGTACAAAAATAGTTTTATATAGGGTTTTATATAGCTAATGTAAAATACAATGCAATACGGTAGCAGCATATTAAAAAAAACACAATAAATTGCTAGCCAAGTGGAGATAGATGGGTGGGATTTGAGAGTGGGAGAATGTGTGGGAAAAGCCAATGGAAAAGGTGGAACAGCTGGATCCCAAACACAGCTTCCTATGCGGGAAAACATTTTGCCTGAAAACATTTTCCTTGTATAGAACTGGTGTTGATAACCTTTATTTGATGCATTTTGCATTCAGTAAAATAGTTATGAAAAGTAAGCATGGAAACAATTTTAATGGGTTCCTTAACATTGCTATACAAAATAGATACATAAATGCTGGGATATAGCAGCACAATATTCTTCCCCCTGGAATTGGTGAGAGGGGTGAAGTAAGAGAAAAGGCTCCAATCTATTCCCTCCCCCAATGCCAGTGTGTTGGGTTGTGCTCCAGACTACCTACATATATCACACTCCCCGCTATTCTTGTTCTTAAACACGAATATACTGTACATTCTACTCCTGCCAAAAACATTCTGTTCCACACACCTTCTTAGTACTAAACTGAGGAATTTTCCTGAAATTTGCATTTGATTTAATAAAAAAAGTATTTGCTTTGGAAACCCTGAACAAAGAAGAGAATTTAGAAACATTTTTGTAGTCACAATATAACCTAAATTTCATTACAGCTTAGACCAGGGGTATCAAACTCAAGGCCCGTGGGCTGGATCTGGACTGCAGGATGCTTAGATCTGGCTCGCGGGGCCACCCTGGAAACAGCCAAGGACAGGCCTATGGTACCTTGGCCTGGCCCAGGGCTGGAGGAGGCCATGCTGGAGGAGGCCATGGCAGCTGAAAATGGAGCTTGGGAGAGCCGTGTGCTGGCCACATCCACCCCAGCCATGCCCCCCAGGGTCAAACACAACCCTGATGCGGCCCTCAATGAAATTGAGTTAGGCTTAGACTAACCACTATATATAAAATATACCTAACAATCTCCCACAATGTTTTTTGCATTTAGATAGTGAAAGGGTAGACAAAGTGGATGTATGTCTATATTAAAATGCCTTGTTGTTTATTATACATACAATCATCTTTCCAATGGTTTGCAGCTTCTCTGATGTTCCATGTTTCAGCTAAATCACAAGACAATTTCTCCACTGGGACTTTACCAATTGCTGTGTGTGACTGTCATTACTAAGGGGGTGTTTATAGAGAAGTTGTTTTCTCTTCCCTGGAGAGGTTTGGAAAAAAAATCAACTTTACTGTGAATAAATTGAGCAGAGAATTTCGAAAGGGCGTTGTATGCCCAGTGATACATCTGTTTGTCAACTACCATCCACTGCTTCACTGACAATCCTTGATCAGAGATGGTAAGTCTGGCACAACGAATTGTAATGCAACCGATCTACAGAGTTCCTATGTGGCAAAGCTGATGTGCGGATTATGTGTGCAATGAAGCCTGTGTGCTTTTTTTAACCTTGTGTCAAATTATACTGATTCTTTTATTCCAGGCTCAGGTTTATATCATCCAGACTTCTCATATACATTGGTCCTTTGTAGAGTTTGGAAAAATGAGCTTTTAGATGTCTGGCTCATTAAATCGCAGCAGTTTTTCCACAGCACATTAATGGAACCATATTTTTTTCCCTGCTAAAATGACAACAGTAGCACATTATAAACTTTCTGATATTTTCAAGTCCCATGGGGTGGTAAGGAATCATGCTGGTATTGATCCATTCTGGATGAAAGCACAAGCAGGGAGCCTTTTGATACTTACCCCTAAAGGATGTTGCACCCCCTTTTCTTTGTCTTTGTAGGTTGTGGACAGAGAACTGCTCGAATGGCCTCATCAAACACTGTTTTCAGGCCACGCTGGGTGAGGGCTGAACATTCAAGATACTTCACTGCATCTGCAAAGAGAAAAAGCTCACTCTCTGAGGAACAAGGAAAAATGAGTAAATTCTCTCACTTGTCCTGATATCAAGCTTGGCATCTCTATGGACAGCAGAACTACTCAGGAATGTAAGAATATAAGAAAAGACTAACACGATCAGACCAAAGCCCTGTCGCAGGAAGATGGCTTATGTAGAGTCTAACCATTCAAGAATCTACCTCAGTATTGTTTGCACTGACAGTAGTTGGTTGTCCAAGGTTTCAGGAAGAAATATTTAACATTACTAATTGTGAGACCAAAGACTAAACAAGGACTGCATGTTAAGTACAGATGCTTTACCACTTAGCCAATCTGATGGCTACAGGCATCCGTAAGGAATACATGGACACAAAATTTTTGCTTGCTGCTGCTCTACAGCTTGCATTTTGATGTGATAAAACTAGATGTCTTTGATGCAATAAGGAAGAAAATAAATACTGTAATGGATGGCCAGACATCAATCAATAAAAACTTTATTTCTGATACTGAAGATGCAGATTCTCAAATTATCAGGCAGATCATGAGGAAAGCCATATTTTGTTGAAGCACAGCCATCCTAAATCCACCCAGCAAGACATCTGTTACTGAAGAAAGCAAGAGAAAACTGATGTCCCAAAGAACAGCTTTTCTCCCTCCAGAATTACCATCAAAGATACTGTATCTTTCTCTCTTCTCACTCTGCCTGTGTCTCGCCCACTAGTTAGGCTTTGGGAGGTAGTGAAAAGGGAAAGATAGATTGTTTTTTCCAGAAAACATGAGTGTGCCCTGGTAAAGATTCTTCAGAAAGGGAGCAGACTTGCAGTTTTTGCTGGTGTGTCCCCAGAATACAGGACAGGAAAAGGAAGTTGTGGTTCAACATTATTTCAAGAGACAGAAGGCAAGTTCCGGATACAGAAAGTTCAGAAGAGGAGGGGGCAAATATCAGCATTCTGATATTGAGAGTTAAAGCCCTAATCTTAATCTTAACTCTGCAAGAAATCTGATGCCACTTTAACCCTTGTATATATAGATCATTGGTGTCTTTGCTCACAAACCAACAAAGTTGTACTAATGAGATCTGAGCACAAATATGTATAAGTTTTCAAACACATGGCCACATACATTCTTATTTTTAAATGCAGAAAATTTGCATTTTAGTAGACTTTCTTCAACATTTTTTAATTTCTAAATTCTCAAAATACACATTCATGCATGCATTTTCTGAAGCGAGACTGGATCACATAATTAGGAGAAGTGTGAAATTTCAGAGATAACTGCTTTCTGATTTGCATAACAGTTCATTAAAATGTGAACAAAAAAACCTTAAATATCCATCACTTGGGGACCAAAATATTCAAGTTAAAATTTCCTTGGAGCAACTAATGTGAGAGTTATCTTGGAAAAAACTTTCTTCCCTTATCTGTCATGCATTGTTGCTATTTTAGTCCAACATACAGCATATACTGTTCCCCTTATCTGAATTGTCCTTTTGATTTAACGAATTGTAATCTTTAATCCAATGCTGGATGAAAATGATTCCATGCTACTGGGACTCTTAAGAGGATTCATCACAGCCTCCTTCAAGGAAGACAAATCCTCTTTCCCAGAAGCAGACACCACTGCAAAAGCCCCATCAAAGGTCACCTTCTGGATCTAATAAATAAATAAAAGATGGGAACAGAACCAATAAAGGCAGGATAGAGATTGGAATGCTAATTTGTAACAGCTGTATATTTTCTGCCAATTCAAGGATACAGTAGATGAACAGTACTTAATAGTTGGAAAGGGCTCTGTTCAATCAAAAGAAAAAAGAAGGTTTGTGAGCTTGGTAGACAATATTTACATGTATTTTTGCCTTTCTGAATTTCTCAGCTGCTTTCTAGCTCTTATAGCTGCACAGGATTCTGTATATTGCACCACAGTTAGTTTCTAAAGGTTAAACTGCAACATAAACAAGCTAAAGAAAAACAGATAGAAGATAAATACCAACCTAGTCTAAATAATGGACAGGGATGTCTGACTGCATTTGATTGGTTTGAGAGAGATGGCTATCCACAATTGGGCTGACATAAAGCAAACCTTTCCCCTCCCTGAGGCAACACTTACCAATCTCTTTGGCAAGGGCAAGACCTTGTGGGTATGTAATGGGGGCTAACTTCTTTTCCTTCAGCTTCTCAATAGTATCCTTGTCATCCCGGAGATCCAGCTTCGTGCCCACCAGGATCATGGGAGTGCTAGGGCAGTGATGTCGTACTTCAGGGAACCACTAAAAGAAAGCTCAAGATTTTACTGACATAATACAAAAAAACAATGATGCAGAACAGCGGGTTGATCAATGAAAAAAATCAGATGGGCCATTTGCACCAATGCAGCCTTCTTAAATAAGGACTAGAAACCAAATGCCCAGGTTTGTAATAATAAAACAGCAGTAGTGGGTACAGCCCCTGAGTAATGCTCTGAATGCGATGGAGCATCGTGGAAGGTCGCAGAGGCATCGCTGGATGGTATGACGCATGTGCGTGCATGCTGCATGTGTTCATATGGAGGACGCTGGGCCCTGTTGCAACCCACCACTGATACACAGGAAATAGAACTTGGAATAGCAACTGATAACAAGAAGAATATGAATCACAATAATAATATAGCTGTTGAACCAGAGAGAATTGATTCTGATTGTGGAGGGGCTATAAATGTTATAAACAAACATTTAACAAATGCATCTTGGCTTACATCCACTGAGTATATTTATTTGATCAATTTATATAGCTGCCCATCTCACAATTGCAATTCTGGGAGATATATCTAGGTTTAAAAAACCAGACAATGGCATCAGAAAACAAACCCAACTCTGATCATAAAAAAATTACAATGAAGAACTCACTTAATCCCTGGATACTTTTAAAAAGGCTCCAGATGAACTGGAACTGTTACAACGCCTCATACTCTAGTGTTGCTGAACCCTGTTTGTACACCAGGGGTGACAAACTTGATTTCATTGAGGGCCACATCAGGGTTGTGTTTGACCTTGAGGGGCCAGGTGGCTAGCTCAACATCACTCAAGTCGGAGGCACCTGTGGTAGCCCAGGTTCTCTGCCAGCAAAAACCAAGCTCTGTTTTTGCTGGCAGAGTGTAGCAGGATGCCATTGCAGCTGAAAACAGAGCTCCATTTTTTCTGGCAGAGGCACCATGGGCTGGTCCCTAGCTGTTTCCAGGGAGGCTCCGTGGGCCAGATCTAAGCGCCCTGTGGGCTGGATCTGGCACACATGCCTTGAGTTTGACACCCCTGTTGTAGACTATGATGCAACCTCTGATAGATTTGAAGAGTTGTGTTGATGTAAAGCAGACTTCATCCAATACATCCTTCAGATTTATTGGACTTTGACTACCAGAATTCTCAGGCAATCTGGAAAATCTAACGTAGTCATGGGAAAAATTAGGAGTCTTCATTCAAAATTTTCAATGAAAACTTTCACACCAGTCCAATTTAAACATTGCATGAGGATCCAAATATTTTACTGTCAATATTTTTCAGGCTACAGCAATACCAAGACTGAGTCTTCCCTTTCCTCACTTGCTCTACACACAGAACCCCGGATGATCTCACCTTAGCACGAACATTTTCATAAGATGCAGGGCTGACTAGAGAGAAGCAGATGAGAAAGACATCCTGTGGGCAGAAAATTCAAAGACCCGTGAAAAAACATGTGAAAAATGTCACATTATGAAGCAGAATGTAGCAAATATTGATATACATTGCTGCTCAGGTGCTTAAAGCATTTTACAGAACATCTCTGTAACTCTCACAAGAACCTTGTAAGCTACATTGGTATTGTTAATGAATATTTAGTCCAGTGATTTTGGTTGGTTTAAAAGATGCATCTAAGGAATTTTGAATCTTTACCAAATGCTTTATGAAAACAAAAAAAACTTTTGAAACAAAGAACAATGCACAAAACCTTGAAGTTCTTTTATAGAGACATGAAACAGTTACTTCTTCTATTAATAAATCAATATCCACAATACTAAAAAAGCAAAGTGTCACATTATTTTAGTTTACAAGAATACCTGTTGAAGAAGCCATATTTTGATAAGGCATGCCCTGGTGGTTGCCATTTTCCACAAGCACCCCTTACAGGTTCACAGCTATGCCCACAGGCTGAAAAATACTAGCTAATTTATCTAACCAAGATTAACTCAGAAAAATCTTGAATTGATGCTTTCTTCATGTCATTATCACCTTCCCCATCTGAGAGTTATATTTAATATTATATTGTACAATGCCTACTATCAGTTAGAGAAGCCTGAGGATTTTGTCCAGGAATCTTGAAGGACCTCCTTAAATTATGTAAATATAATCTTATTTCCATCTTAAAAAGTGAGAGGAAAGGCTCTCTAAAGTCCTGGATCAGCTGGGTAAAACTATTAAACATTCTGGTTTTTTTTAGCTGTGATGACTATAATATTTTGCAGTGCCACCATCGAATGTAATTAGAATTTTGGAGGCCCAGATATAATAACACTTCATTAATATAATATTGTCTCCTGGTGATGATGTGGAGATATCTTATTGCCATTGATTTCTTTCAGAATGCTCTTTTAAAATCTCCACTCTAGTCTACAGTCTGATTTGTTGATTGCATCTCATCCAAATGTTGATTACATCTACTTATGTTGACTCATTCTAACAACCTAGAACTAAGGAGAAATTTACTGACAGTTAGAACAATTAATCAATGGAACAACTAGCCTCCAGAAGTTGTAAATGCTCCAGCAATGACTGGAGATTTTAAAGAAGAGATTGGATAACCATTTTTCTGATGTGCAGGCGGTTGGATTAGAACACCTCCAAGATCCCTTCCAACTCTGTTATTCTATACTCCTAGATAGGTTTTTTGGGGGAAATCAGCTATCATTCGGTAGAAGCTCTCATGTGTGTGCCAAGAAGGAATATGAACAAAGCTCTTCAGAGGTAGGTAAGGTTGTCAAACAAAACAAATCTGGATGTCTACTAAATAAGGAGAACTATGGCTCTTTGAAGCTTCTACTGGTAGATTCAACTATTTTTGTAGTCCATATCAAACAGCCCTAAGCAATTAGATGATGCTTCAGAGAAAATTCATGACTTACAGTCTGTGGATAGGAGAGAGGCCTCAAGCGGTCATAATCCTCCTGGCCAGCTGTATCCCACAATCCCAGGTTTACTGGTTTGCTATCAACCATCACATTGGCAGAATAATTATCAAAGCTGTAACAGATATCAGAGTTTATAGTGACATTAGAGGGAGAGGGATTTTACTTTTTCCTAGACTGAAATCCTAATTCAGGAGGAAAAAACATGGTTCTCTCCAAGGTGCTAACAGATATGTCTCTTGGCACCGTCAGACTCTTTGATTCAGTTGACTTTATTTGGCAAACATTAAATAGGAGGTTTGGAGTCTATAAATCCCACTGGCACCTTTGGATGCAGCATGAAGCTCCAAAGGTATTCTATGAAAATAGAGGATGGTTCATTGCAGTGATTTCTTTGAATCTTGGTACTGTTCTGACCTAGGTTTCCAAGAGCATGAAGCCAATCCTCGTCCTTGCACAAAACTCTTTTATTAATTTACTGTGAATTCTGCTCATTCACATCCAGCAAAGTCTCCTCTTTCAAGGGAGGATTTACAGTCACAGACCTTATCTGTCTTGGAGAGCTGTCAGGCCAATATCTGTAAAACTTGGCAAGGAGCCTCGGAGAGTCACGAACCGATTAAGTGAACTAATTGTCTCCCGCAAACTCCACTCCCCTTTTGCTGCTCTTTTATTTCCTCTGGGAGGGGTCATTCATTGTCCACCTGTGGCATTACTCCCAAGTTGACCCCTGTTCTTTAGCTTTTCCCTTCATCTGGCAACTCTGCGCATGCGCACACTAGGCACATGCTCCAGCTGTTCATCTGCCTCACTGATGTCTGATTCCGAAGGCAGATGATAACTGGCATACGACTCTGGCTCCCGCTCTGACACAGAGCCCTCATCAGAGCCTTCCCCAGGCTCCAGGACTGGCCAATGTTCCTCCCCAACATCCTCACTGTCCGAATCTGCTGCTAACTCCTCTGGTCACTGGCAGGCCCCACAGGTGCAAATACAACAACAAAAATATTCTGGAGTACTAGTGAACAGTCTGGAAGATGAGGGTGCCTACAGGGAGGAAATCTTCTCGTCCAAGCAGGGGTTGGACTAGAAGACTTCCAAGGTCCCATTCAACTCTGTTATTCTATTCTAAGCCAAAATGGTGGCACCATTTAGCAATCAAAACTCCCTTTGTGCTCCTTTTTTATGTGTATTGTACATAAGGAGCGCATGGCTCAGATTGTATTTTTGTGATTGCCATCTTGAGTTTTTTTTATACCCACCCGCCCTCTTTCTGGAAGGCTAGAAAAAAATCACAGCACCTAACATCTCTAAGCTGTCTTTGGGAAAATTGATATTTTGTGACTGCTCATGCTTACAATTCTATTTCAAATCAGATGCAAGTTTATGTACCTTATTTTTAGTTCTTTCCCTTCTTAAGTAATAGTTTCCCATGACATACAATTATACTATCTTTACTATCACTTTTCCTAGATGTATTGGCAGTAACAACTCCTCTTCTGAAAGTTCTGATTCCAAGAAATTTGATGAGCACATTAATTTATCTAATGTCTTTTTCCTGAAATGCATAGAATGGGTGCAAATAATTTCTTAATCAAATCAATTTGTTTTTCTTAACATTCCCATCTAGGAATATTAAAATGCTGAATTTTCTTGATTGATGGAAACCTGATCATATATTGTGCTGTTATTATTTACCCAGCAAAGTTGCATTTCCTTCAGAAACAGGAATCGTAGTGAGATCTAACTCTTTCAAATCCAACAATCTCAAGCTAAACCATTTCCATACTCACACAGTAGGAATATATTCTCCTGGGAATGCATTGGTGGTGTAGCTGATCAGGAGACAAGTTTTACCTACAGCTCTGAAGGTGGGGGGAAAAAGGGAAAAGGCATTTAATAACAGTTCTTTTTAAAATATGCTTCTGTAGTAGATTTAGAGAGATGCTTTGCTTATGAATAAAAGTTCCTGGTATTACAATGGTGTCCAGAATTCAATTTAAGTTGCCAAGGTTGAGAAACAGTGTCCCAGTATCATGTCAAACAAGAGGAATGGAAACATGAAGCATGTCGATAAGAACAACTTCTCTTATATATAGGTGGGAATGAGATGAAAGCATCTTCCAAAAAACATACCAAGGAAACAAAGAGAGAAAAAGATTACCAGGCCATGTTTATTCTATGCTTAGGTACTGGTGAATAAAATTCATTAAAATCAGGAAGGAACCAGAAGCAAGTTGCCACTTCCCCATTCATTCTTTAGCTTTAAAAAATGTCACGCAATTGCTTAAGCCAGACTTGAGACATGGTTGTCTATAGCTCACATCAAGTCTGGTCATGCTTATTTCAGAAAATTACAGTTGTGTTCAAGATACGCAGAATCCAGGGGTGGGTTGCTGCCAATTCGGCACACACAAAAAATTGCTCTGCATGCGTGTGCATTTGCATCTAAAAATGTTTGTGCTTGCGCAAAATGTTAAAAAGGGAAAAATACATTTCTGCAATGAAAATTGTTCTGCGCATGCGCAGAACCAAAAATCAAGATGGCGCCACCATAGGAGAACCGGTTCAGGGGCGTGGCAGGCCTGGGTCATTACTGGTTCCAGCAACTCAGGCTGCCAAGTTACTTCTTATTTGGCCGAACCAGTCCAAACCAGTAGGAACCCACCTCTGCCAGAATCCATCATATGGATGAAAGTTGCTTTGTGCAATTCACATTATATTATATGCTGTAAACTTTCCACATAGTTGTGGAAGGCATGCTAAGACCGATAATGCAGAAACACTCTTTTGTTAAACCCTGTGCAATTAGTAAATGTTGTCCATGTTCAGAGGCCTTTCTAAAAATTTGGTTTAAAAAATGATGTCAGATCGGAGGCCATAAAAAGGCAGGTGAGCTAAGAGGGTGAGTCAATGAAAAATGTAGCTTAGAAGGTATTTCCCACCAGCCCATAGTCTAGAACAGGGGTGTCAAACCTGATTTCATTGAGGGCCACATCAGGGTTGTGCTTGACCTCAGGGGAGTAACTGTGGCCAGCTCAATGTAACTCATGTCGAGAGCACCTGTGGCCCTCCGCCAGAGAAAAATGGCTCCTAAGATCTGTTTTCAGCTGCGACGGCATCCTGCAACCCTCTGCTAATGAAAATGGAGCTCGGGAGGACCCACGTGCAGCCCCCCCAAACCCCCTCACAGGCCAGATATAAGCATGCCACAGGCCTTGAGTTTGACACCCCTGGTCTAAAAGATAGAAACTAGGAGGAAGAGCTACATGTGTTTCTAATAAACCATCTGCCTGTAAAGTTATTTTAAAAAAAATATTGTAAAACATCCAGCTTGCCCATGCTAAGAGATGACAAAAGTGATATTTGCATCATCTTGGGAGGGCACCAGATTGGAAAAGCTGTTCTAAGGTAATCAGCCTCAGCTCTCTTAATTAAAAATATGGTAGGATGGCATTTGTGGAGTTTATATCTGGATAATCTTCCTTTGAGTTCAGCTGAAATATTTGTAGAGTTTCTAACCAATAATTGGAATTGGCTTTAAAAGGATGTTCTCATTTTGTTCCTACATGAACATGAGAATGGTGCGTGAGAATGGTGGTGGTAGTAATAATAATGATAATAAATCATATGTATTTGTACCAAGTCATGGTATGAGCAAGGAAATCCGGTAATTACAAATATTCATGCAATACAAAAATGCCCAGAACTTAATGAGCAACTGAACAATATTTAGAATTTAAACAGCCTGCTGATATTGTACCACAACACATACACACTATGCATCTATCTATCTATCTATCTATCTATCTATCTATCTATCTATCTATCTATCTATCTATCTATCTATCTATCTATCTATCTATCTATCTATCACCATCTCCCTCCCTCCATCTCTCTTCTCAATAACCAAAACATGGCAGCAAGAATTACAATATTAACATTTCTAGGAATTGCAAAAGAATAAGATGGAATAAAGAAACTCTACATTATCCCACAAATCAGATTAAAGGACAGTAAATCCTTTTGAAATCCATACAACTTTCACAGATATGAAGGAACAGAAGAAGCTCATTTTAGAATGATGGGCCCATCCCAGAATACCAGATAACAGTCCTGGAGGGTGAACGAGAAGGATACACTTGCACAAAGGGGTAGAAAGGATAGTTGGGATTGTAGCATAAGAGCAGATACTGGATGACTTGAGACCAGTAAGCTAAAAAAAAAACCCATCCCAAAAGCCAGTAATTTAAATTCAATTCTGGTTCAAATAGAAAGCAAGTAATGTGCCATATTGTGTAGTAAAATATGAGGAAAGCATTAGAGGTCCAGAACAATCTAAACAGTACTGTTTTGACTAACAGCAAATGATAGAGAGATAAACTGGGGGCACTTGCTGGAATTCTATTGCATTAATCCAAGCATGAAGCAATTGAGGCAAGCATCAATAAAGCCACCAAGAGCCTAAAAATGCCCAATGACTGAAAATATGCTATGCAATTAATAAATGGGTCAACTGTTATCAAGCAAGATTCAAAAGTTTCAGGTGGAGGAAACAAGTAATCTGAAGTTCTAGAATCAAATGAGAAAGACAGCAAAGGAGGGGAAAAACCACTAGACCAAAACAAAACAAACTCTGTTTTATCCCTATTCAACTTTAGGCAATGGGAAAACATCCAGGATGAAAACCTAGTAAGACGGGTTGATAGGCTTCATATTTGCATGATATTGGGGCACCCAAGAGAAGGGTATAATAGGTGAACAAAATAGGCCCCATGACTGATACTTGAGGGAAACCACTCTAATGGAAAATTCCATGTAGCTTGGGAGGAAAAAGTAAAAAGAAAAAGTAAATGGCCCAATCAAGAATTTACCAGTGATGGCCAAGGATCATCTCATAGACAAAGATATCTAGTAGCTGAGTACAGCAACTGTTGCTGTAAAGTCAGAAAGGACAACAGGATGGATAGGTAGGTAGGTAGGTAGGTAGGTAGGTAGATAGTCAAAAAGGACAACACCAATGTCAAATAGTGAGACTTCACCATCAGAATATCATTGAGAATGTGGTGTTCACAAAGTACATTCGTTTAACCCAATTTTATGGGTGCACATTGTGTGAATTGTTATCTAATTAAATAGATAGGTTCACACAACACACTAGATTGCCATATGATTGCCTTAGTGTTTCTTTGAATACAACCAGCATGCCAGGCCATTGTGCTATCAAACCCAGTATTGCCAATTCCAATTGGAAGCCTTCCAGTTGAATTAGCTATATAATTCCTCATATTCCCAGCCAGTATAGCAGGAGTGGGGAACTTGGCCCTTTTATGACTTGTGGACTTCAACTCCCAGAAGCATGTCTGGCTCAGGAATTCTGGTAGTTGAAGTCCACAAATCATAAAACCGCCAAGGTTCCCCAGACGTGAGGTGTAGAAAGTTAGCACCCACCCCTCTCCTAGAAGAATGAAATATCGTAGGAAATATTAAGAAGGCAGAATAGTATATTTCCCTGGATCAGAAATGGAGAAACATGTTTTTAGGCAGGAAACAGACTCACTCTTAATAGCCCACATGTAATAAGACATTAAGATGCCCAGGTCAGTCTATTTTATATAACAAAGATCTCCCCCCCCCCTCTTCAACTCCAGAATGATGGGATTTAGGCATGATAGTGTTAGCCCTTTATCCCACTCACCACATGGCACCTGGAAACTCAAACTTGGACTCAAAACAAAGCCTAGAGAGTTGCCCCTACATGGCCCCATGGGAGTCTGACAACCAATCAAAATACATTTCTTATACAGGAACAGGAAACAGAGAGGTCAAACAGAGAGTATAAAGCCAGAAACTTTCAGCCCTTCTTTCTCTTCTTCTTCACCCAACATCTGGAAATGTGACCCCCCTTCTCTGTTCAGGAGCCCAAGCCATGTGTTCCTGTCCACCATGAAACCATCTTTCCAAGCAGCCTCCATGTTTCCAGTGTCTTTTTCCCCACTTGGAGCTGAACCCAGAAGGACATTTCTCCCAACAGGAGTATAGAACGATCAGAGTGGCCTCTGATTTAGAAAGGCTGATCTAATTCTCATTTGCAGGAGCATTAAGTACTTGGTCTTTTTAACTGAAGAAATTCAAACCTGAGCCACTGAAATATGACCATTCCCTCAACTTCTGCATGCTTGGTTTTTTTTTTAAATCACAGGTGTCAAACACTTCAAAGAAACTTCCTTATGGAGGTTTCAGCAATAGAAAAGATACCGGTGAAATGCAGAAGCTAGAAAAGTCCCTTTGTCTGTACCAGCCCAGAGCAAATAATTGCAGGAAATCCCAGGATGAAGGGATCAGGCTGAATTTCATTCAAAGCCAATGTCCTCCTCCTCCAAAGTATAATGCTGGTCTTTGCAGATTTGTGCTTAAGACTCTCCAAAATGGAAGAAGCTGAGAGGGATGTTCAGTGCACAATTAATAGGAAGTCCCAAAATAAATTAAACTTGTCATATCTCATTTAGTAGACATAGAAGCTGTTTTTACATGTAGGCAATCCAAACATTTTTTTTTTAGCTGAATCCAAATCATGGAAAAAAATATTGTTCTTGAGTCATCGGGAGCATATTACCAGGAAGGAGGTGAAGTTTATGTCTGCTGCTAAGTTTTTTTACTATTACAAATGCTTTCAGCACATTATTACACAGTATATCATTCTATGAATCTTTCATGTTGATTTCTTGTATCTTATGCAGCTGTCATACTGCAATGTGATTATGGACACTCTCCTCCAACAAGTAGATACAAGAAAGAGTTGACAAAGGAGCGACCTTTGTCAATTCTATCCTAAAAGCAACCTCCCAACAATCCTAAAAAACAGTCTCTTTTATGGTAGTCCCCTTTTCTGCTTCTTAATCAACAGCTGTTGCATTAAGAGGCATTCTTTGGCAACTTCAGTTTGCTTTTGAGCCTGGCCTCTCACCCACAAATGACATCTAAAAAATATTATCAAGACAAATAGACCTTCTCAGGTGACAAGTGCTTCATAGAAAATTGCTTTCATCTTAGTTTTAGAGGGCTGCATAGAAAAAAAAACATTTTACTAGTTTCATAAGCAAAAATAAAAAGCCATGAAAACTTACTAAGACCACTGGTCCAGTAAACCACAAACCTAGGCAGAAAGCCATGAATATAAAGGCCTGTATCTCCATTTTAAATCCTTTGAAAGATAGTTACATTATTTCAGGCTTGCAACATTTAACTCCCGATAATGACACTACTGTAATTAAATCAGACTCCCCCCCCCCCAGGTTTTGCTCTTCAAATGCATGAGGTCTTTGGGCGAATTGACTGGAAATTCTGGGAGCTGCGGTCCCAATTACCCACCTGGAGAGCAGGAAGCTGGAGAGGTTCTGTCTTCAAGTACTTAAATAAAGGGGGCCATGGTTTATTTGATAGGTAACAAGTTATCTGGTAGGCAATTCCACAATTAATCTTATTATATATGTTCTATCCAGGCTGACTTGTTTTTTTTAAAAAAATCACATTTCTGAAAAATGAAAGCATTACTTCCCACATTCATATTGCACAGAAAACAAATGAAATCCTTTCCTCATTTCTATTCTCTCTCTCTTTCTTTCTCTCTCTCTCTCTCTCCCTCCCTCTCTTCCTCTCTTCCTCCCTCCCCCACTCTCAAAGAAAGATGGAGATTAAGAAAGAACAAGCCCTTGTCAGAAGACCCACTCACTTCCTTGCTTCTCAAAGGAAGAGTACATACCCATCTCCTACTACCACACATTTGATAGCTTGCATGTCTCCGGCCTAGCAGCACCGTGGAGTTAAGGAAGCCTCTTGAGCAACGAAGCAGCTCAACAAATGTTGATGGTGGAAAGTCTTCTATAGATATGTCAAAACTGAAGCTGAATTAACAGCAGGTTGTGGGTTAGGGAGGAAGCGGAAGAGAGAGAATATTTCTCAGCCCGCCCACTGATCTCTTCCTTTACCAGGCAGCTTTAAGTGTTTGCTGGGGAAGGGCAAGCTTGCTATTTGAAAGCAGAACTCTTTTTTTGCAGATCCCAGATGGTTCATCATTTCCTCTTATCTGTGACTCCACACTATGGACAGTCGGGAAAAGGGTTGCTTTGAATCCTCTCCCCAACAAAATTGCCCAGTGCAGCAGATGGAGAAGTAGAGAGATGCTTAGAGAAAGGAGGTCCTTTTTCTCTTTCTAGCTACTTTAGCTAGTAAGAGAAGATGCCTTGCTGAGGAATTGTTTGCCTTGGTCTTACTGCAAAGAGAGGGGGAGAGAGAACAAGTCATATTGGTCTAGCACAAAACAAAGTGTGTGTATTTTGTAAACAGAGGACCTCGTTGTCTTCCTTTTAGGAGTGATGTTTAAGAACATTTTGTTTGCTTTTCAACAAACTTGGATATTCACAGAAAACATTGTGAAATGTTTTGCTTGGTTTTGCCCGTGCAGAATTCTTGGTTCCCCACCTCACAATGTATAAAGCAAAGTGAATATATGATAAGGATATGCATGCTGAACAGCTCCACAAGCCATGATAATATTCATGTCTATAACGTTTGCCAATAGAAGCTAACCATTTAACTCTTGATAAGCCACATTTATGACTGAAGGCAGCAATAAAGCACCTATAGAAACAAACATATGAAGTCCTAGTCACTGAATGAAAGAGATGCAATCCAATTTATCAAATTATAGATGAAGCAGGACAGGTGGCCAGAAAAAAAACTCTGAAATGGGGAGGTTCACAATCTGAAGATACTGAATTAGAGCAAGGGCTGAGAATTGGAACCAAATTTATTTGCTGCAGTGTGAAACATTTGAAAGCAATGTTTATAGCATGAGTCTTGCAGCAGGTCCCCATGCCCCAAAGCTGCTAATAAGCCTCAGCTATGTCTCTAGTTCTATAAGCCAAGCAGGCAGTCTGCCTAATGACCCATATTAACCTTTAGGCTCTATTAAATGCACCTTTTGCTGTTGTCTTTCACAGCACCACTTGGTTCACCTACTGAAAGCTGTGAGTCTTTCTGGGCTTGATACTTAATTTTCTTCCTTTTTTCAGGTGGGGAATTTTTCAAAAGAGACTATGAGAGTGTTATGGCATTTCATTCCAGTAAGAGAAGATTGGAGTCCTGCGATACACAGGGTAGCTTCTTCCAAGCTATGGACATTCAAATTTCAGTCTGGACTGGATGACATGTTAGTAGAGGAGGAATGGTAGAACTGATGAAATAAGCCATAGCTCATACACAAAAGATACAGTGACTACTTGAAGCAGAATAGGTCACAGCAGTGGTGTGCCAAGGAGTATGGTATGTGGCAGTCGGTCCAGGCGCAGGTAATAAGGGGGATGCTTCTGAAGACAAAGAAGCAGGTGCAGCATTGGTGGCCGGTGCCAGCATGTTGATTATATTTTTAGAGGTGAGTAGCATGGCAGCAACAGAGGAAAATAATTGCATCCTCAAGTCAGTTTTGAGTCATGATGACCGCCTCCTATATCCTTGGCAGCATTTTTCAGAAATGGCTTGCCATGTCCTTCTTCCTAAGGCTGAAAGAGAATGACTGGTCACCCAGCTGGCTTTGTGCCTAAGGCTAAACTAGAAGAGACTTATTAGAATAACTTTATTGTCACTTTGGCATGCATTAAAATGAAATTTTGTTGCATACAGATCTCAAAAGGTCACCACCTCCAATGTACACTACAGAAACATGACAAAAATAAAATAAATACAGAATTATGTCTATATCCACTTATGTGTGATGGAGAAACAACACCGTCTAGTTCAGATGTATACATGTACATGGGGAGAAAAATGAATCTTGCAAGTTTAGCAGACAGATGGCATAGGGAACAAAGCTGTTACAGAATCTGGTGGTCCTGCTAGAAATACTTCGAAACCTCCTCCCGGAGTGGAGCAACAGAAACAGAACTTAAAGTGAGTGTGTGGGGTCACTAACAATGGTTTGAGCTCTAAGTACATAGCACTTATAAGCAGTATCCTGAATAACAGGAAGCGGACTTCCTATAATCTTCTTGGCTGTCCTTGCCACTCTCTCTATGGACTTTCTATCGGAGGCACTTCTATCACCTAACCAAACAGTGATACAGTTTGTTAAAACATTTTCAATTGTGCCTCTTTAAAAATCAGCCAGGACAGAAGGAGAAAGATGTGCTCTCTTCATCCAATGCAGGAAATGCAGACAGTGGTTTGCACGCTTCACTAAGGATGATGTCTGAGACCAGTTCGGATTGTTGGTTATCTGCACCTCAAGATGCTTAATACCATTAACCATCTCTACAGCTGCATCCTTGATGCTGAGTGGAGTATGACTATGCCGGCTCTTTCTAAAATCTACAATGATCTCCTTTGTTTTATTAACATTTAGAACCAGGTTACTGTTATTGCCTCAGTCAACCAGAGCCCTCACCTCTTCCCTATAAGCATCTTCATTGTCATCCCGGATAAGACCCACTACTGTGGTGTCATCCGCATACTTCACAATATGATTCATAGCAGATTTGATACTGCAGTCATGGGTCATCAAGGTGAACAGTAGCAGATTCAAGACACAGCCCTGTGGGGAACCTGTACTCAAGGAGATGGAGTTGGAAACTTTTCTTCCAACTCGCACAAACTCACAGTCTCCTGGTTTCTAACTTTAACCGTGTTTAACGGTTACACCAAACTGCTTCTTGGAGGAGTTAGATCTAAAAATGGTCTCAGATGTGCTGAGTATACTACTGAATCATAGATTCAGAATAACAGCAGATGATGATATTTGTGGATGCTTACTTAGTTGCTGTTACAAGATTATAGAGAGCCGAGCTATTTAAATCAGACTTATTTAAAAGCCGGTTAAGATCTTCTCCCAGTTAAGGTCTTCTCCCAAATTTCCTATGCAATATTTCATCAAATATTGTTCTTCCAACTGATACTTCTCTTGAATCATAATCATACCCTGAATGGTTCAATGTGGGTGATATGACGGCTGAGATAGCCACTTCCTGGGCAATGAACACAACTTTTTGTATTACTCATACAAAACTAACTGCCACAAGTTGCAGTGTTGGCTAAAGGCTCAGGTGGCTTCATAGAAAGAGTTGGACCAAATCATGGCAATCATGGGGACCTTGGTGACATTATGACAGCCTTGGAAAGCTGCCTTCTGGGAGACTACTTCTTTTAGCAGTTGGTTGGTCACTGTGCGAACAGACTGCTGGACTAGATGAGGCAGGCATCTCATCCAGCAGCAGCCACTGCTTACATTTTTATAGGATGCCCTCTGGTATATCTGCAAACCACACATGAATTTATCGACTTGAATCGTATCCTGTCTAAGTTGTCTTTTTTTAGCTAATTTGTCTCAGACATACTAGCCTTTTCTTGTAAATGTACAATAAATTGAATTTAGAATAATATTCACAAACTTTCCATTTTTTAATGTTACATAATTTTTATTAAAATTTGTAAACAAGATAAAAGCTAATGCAGACTAAAGCAAAAGAAAGAAATTAAAGAAAAAAGCAAGAAAATTCAATTAAAAATAGAAAAGAAAGTAAGTATAAAAAGTGGCTTTCAATATTCTTCTCAGCAATTACAATGTCATGCAGTTATAATGCAAATATATTTTGAACTCTCTCTAAAGTTACATCATATGATTCTTCTTTCTACAATCTGTCTATTAATCAAAACCATATTTCTGAATGAACACACGCACACACACACACACATCAATGGCAAACACTTCCAAACCACTGCAGGAGTTTGTCCAGGTAGTTACCAGAAATCAACAATATTTTGAAAGAACCCCTGTCCACTGTGAACATTTCAAAACTTGATAGTATTGTCTACTGAGTTAGCCTTTTCAGGAAAATCTAAATCTAGACACCATACTAAAAAGCAGAGACATCACCCAGCCAACAAAAGTGCATATAGGTTTTCCCAGTTGCATTGTATGGCTGTGAAATTTGGACCATAAGGAAGGCCAAAGAATTGAGGCCTTTGAACTATGATGCTGGAGAAGACTCCTGTGAGTCCCTTGGACTGCAAGATGATCAAACCAGTCAGTCCTAGAGGAGATCAACCCTGACTGCTCTTTAGAAAGCCAGATCCTGAAAATGAAACTCAAATACTTTGGCCACCTAATGAGAAGGAAGGACTCACAGGAGAAGAGCCTAATGCTGGGAAAGATTGAGGGCAAAAGAAGAAGGGGACGACAGAGAATGAGGAGGCTGGATGGAGTCACCGAAGCAGCTGGCGTGAGCTTAAATGGACTCCAGAGGATGGTAGAGGACAGGAAGGCCTGGAGGAACATTGTCCATGGGGTCGCAATGGGTCAGACATGACTTTGCAAATAACAACAACACTGAGTTAGCAGCATTTGCCATTTCTCTGTGTTAGAGATGTGATTGTGAGTAAAGACTTATACCAAGGAAAGCCACTAAATTGTTGCCCTTTTACCAAGCTTCTTCCTCTGCATTATCTTCCCACCCACTCCCCAGAGAGAATTTGATAGTTCCTCACTCTTGAGTAGCTGTACATGCCCTTGTTTGCAGGAACTGACAAAAAAAACAACCCAGAAAAGATTATATACCTCTGCTTGAACTATATTTCATCAAAGGCAAATGGGTATATTAACTAGGGGAATGAATTATTAATATGATAATTGAAGCTATATCATTTGATCATTTAAATAACTGCTTTCATTAGCCATGAATCTGCCCTGCTAACATCAAATTATCACATGATTAATTATTGCAGTTTCCTCTTATCATACCAACGAATTATGGAAGAAGATTGCCGGTTATCATTTGATCGCGTGTTGGCTACAGAAGTAAATGGAGGTAATTTTGCCACTGCAGAGGGGCAATGAAGTGGCATCTTCAGATTGTTTGAGAATGACACTGCTTTTTGCATTATTCTTCACCTTTTAGAAGAGGAGATTGTAACAACAAAGCAATTATTATACAGCACAAGAGGAAATTGCTAAATTACCCTCTATCTGTCTTCCTGTTCCAGTGACTTATGCTTCAGTCTGCAGTTCTCTTACCCTCTGAAGATTTCTGTCTTGCAATCTTTATTTCCATCTACGCTCAGCAGACAACACATTTTAGCTATTATTTAGCTCTTTTATCATACAGACACCACTTCAGCCCTTTTCTGGCCTACTGACTGCCATGGATCAAGGCTGAAATCAAATGTTACTGCCAGGAAAAAGGCAAAAAAAAATGTTTTTCCTTTCACAGTTTACAGGAGATAGTGGCAGATTACATATTTTGCTGTTTCTGTGCTGGGTGCGTAAATTCTTAGCAAAACCTAAGCTCTGAAAAGGGAGTCTTGCTCCATCTAGACTCCAAACTATTGGGACAGAAAATTCAAATTGCTCAAAGAAGTTGTGGAGGCACTGCAGTTGTGAAATAATTTCTATATTCTTAGACATTTTAAAATGCTTAGAATTTATTTGCTTAAAAATACAGTGGAAATACACGATCAACACAACTGCACACTTTTTCTTAAGATGAGTCATGATATTATCATTTGACAGATCACCAGTAGAATTCTTGAGTGCTCTGTGCTTTGCCAAAAGAAGAGGTGCTAATAAGGCTTTCACGTTTCATCAAAATGTGTGATATTACCTTTAAAATATGGGATGCGGTGGCTGAGTGGTTAAGACACTGAGCTTGTCAATCAGAAAGATTGGCAGTTCAGCAATTCAAATCCCCAGTGCCTGCATAACAGAGTGAGCTCCCGTTACTTGTTCCAGCTTCTGCCAACCTAGCAGTTCAAAAGCATGTCAAAATAGAAGTAGAAAAATAGGGACCACCTTTGGTGAGAAGCAGTGGTGGGTTTCAATTTTTTTTAGAACCTCTTCTGTAGGTGTGGCCTGCTTTGTGGGAGTGGCTTGCCATCCATGTGACCAGGTGGGAGTGGCTTGGCAGCCATGTGACTGGGTGGGAGTGGCCAACTTGTAAAATGTGGTGAAACTCACTTAACAACGCTCTTGCTTAGCAACCAAAATGTTGGCTCAGAAACTCTGGCATTTGAAGCACGCAAGTCTTAAAGCTGTCAAGTTACAAGACCCTTGCACCCCTAACCCTTTAGAAAAAAAACCCAGGGGTGTTCAGACTTGACAGCTTTAAGACTTGTGGACTTCAACTCCCAGAATTCCTCCTCTCACTCCTCATCTTGATGATGTGCGAACGGGCGGGGGGAGAGAGCTGGAACCAGTTCTAAATGGCACTGTAGATTTGTGGAACCTCTTCTATAGAAGAGGTTAGAACTGGCAGGAACCCACCCCTGGTGAGAAGGTAACAGTGTTCCGTGTGCTTTTGGCACCTAGTCATGCCAGCCACATGACCGTGGAGACGTTTTAAGACAGCGCTGGCTCTTCAGCTTTGAAATGGAGATGAGCACCACCTACTAGAGTTGGGAATGACTAGCACATATGTGCGAGGAAAACCTTTACTTTTACCATTAAAATAACCAGTGAATGAAGAAAATAGAAAAGTAAAGTAAAGGTTGTCTACTTTTCTCTCACCTTTGATAAGTTCCCTTCCCATCTTCATTTATCAGTTGGGATTCATAGGCATTATATATTCCCCTCCCCCATGCTACACACTTTTGTCTCTCTGTGCCTCTATATTCAGCAATTTGCATGATGGTGACTAAGTGTAGGCTTAATAAAGTTGTCATTTTCCCCCTCCAACATAAGTGATCTTGCTATACATATAAGAGTTATTTAAAAGATTGCTGCATTTTTTTAATTAAAAGCTAAGTGACAAAGTGTTGGCTGAATAAAGGTATTGTCATTTTTTTCTCCATCAACATAACGGTTTTTGCTTTACTTATAAGAGTTATTTAAAAGATTGCTTGCATTTTTAATTAAAAGCTAAAGGTTATGTTTGAGCCTCCCAAAGATCTTTTGTTAAAACTCACTATGTTTTACAAGTTAAACATTTCTGTAGTCAAATGTAAGCCCAAGAGAGTTAAATGCTGCTTATTTCCAGGTATCTGTGTGCAGAATTGTTGTCATGCTCCATAAATTTAATGGTGCTATTTCATTAGTAGTTTCCTTGTTCAATTTGTTTGAATGCTTTTGTTTTTTTTTAACCATTCAAGAAATTGTAACAGAGCTCTAGTTAATCTATAATAGCCAAAAAGCATAAGCTTTCACATAGCTAATGACAATTTATGCCTTTTAATAAGATTTGTAAGTCTGAACTGTGCCAACAGATTCCTGGTTTTCTTTTTGTTTTCTTCTTCTTTGTGTATAAACAACAGGTATTAAAAATCAATATGTTCATGAAGCTTGACTATAGTGTCTTCTTGGTGACAGGAACATTATTTTCAAATATTTACCACTACAGTTCTGATTTAAAGATAAAAGGTGAAATGTAAGGTTAAACACAAAGTGCAAAAAAATGCATCAAAAAGTTCCCTATTTTCTTTCCACAATTACATCTACTTTATGCTATATAATTTGCTACTTCCTTCCTTCTTTCCTTCCTTCCTTCCTTCCTTCCTTCCTTCCTTCCTTCCTTCCT